GCTATACTCTATGAACAAAGCAGAATTGAAATAGCTCAAAAGAAACACAAGACGCTCAAATTTAGAGAATCCACCCCAAATGTTCACATGGGCTATTTGTGCCCACCTGTGGTAGAACATTCTGAGATCGTATTGGTCTGATCAGCTCCAGCTGGACACACTGAAACTTGACTCTAGCATAGTGATGCCATTTTGGTCCTCTTCGAGAATGAAGGACAACAGCCATGCCTAGTATCAGTATTGCTGGGTCAAAGGTATGTACATTTTGGTAACTTTTTGGGCATGGGAAAGGATAGCAACTTCGAAAGACTTCAGAACTCTAATCTAAGAAGTGACTGGCCAGAACCTCCTGCCTCTTGGCAGAGGGGAAGGACCAGAGGGGCAGAAGGGAACGTCCATTTTCAGACACGGTCAGTGTATTCATTTGTTTTGCTTGACTATGCTTATTTGCTATTTGTTGGTGGGGTCGCGTGTGCAGCAGTGGTTATTTAGTGGGCAGTGAGAGACGCAAACAGTCTTAGAAAGGAAAGAAACAGAGCGTCACTAAAACATTAAAAGATGTCACATTCGGATATTTTACTGGATTCTGGCAAGCAATAGCGTTACGTGAGGAGTTTGAGTTGAGTCTGCTACTGACCTATGCAATCCTGGGCAAGTCACTTTGTTTTGCTCTAAGTTAAATGCATTTATTTCTTTGCTTGTTTTTGTTTATATTTATGTATTTATTCATTTGTTATAATCAGAAAACACAGTGAGATCTTGTATTCTGTGCATATTCTAATCAGTTATGCAGTTATCCAGATATGATCTATTGGAATCATCTCTAAAAGTCTTCCTTTCCTTTTTAGTTTTATTTAGGAATCCTAAAGTCGTTGTGGTGACCAGTCTCAAGTAGACTTTCTAGAGATTAGATCCATATTGGTTCATTTGTCCTTGTCATTTCCTTACATTAACACTGGGGATTTCCAGAATCTTGACCTTTTGGAGACATCTTAGAGACAGAGACACTACTAATATGTATCTCTTCTATGCATCCTCAGTCTGGTCCAGCTACTCTTTCTGACTTCATTTCAGTGACCACGGGTTCAAATTCTGACTATGTCATGGACAGGTTATGCGGCCTTGGACAAATTACTTAATCTCCGTGAGCCTCATTTTAACTCATCTGTAAAATGAGGGGGTTGGACCAGAAGACCTCTGAGATTTCTTTGTAGTGTCATACCCTTTGATAACAACAGATAACACTTATTTGGCACATTAAGGTTTATAATATATCCGTTATCTGATTGGATCCCCCAACACCCCCATGTGGTGGTCTCCCTGCTTCTGGTCTCTCCTCTCTACAGTCCGTTGTCTTGATAGCTACCAAAATAATCTTCCCCTGGCACAGGTCTGGCATGTCACTCAGAGATCTCCACTTTTGCTTCCCTTTGCTTCTGTCATACCATGCAGACTACCTATCTCAGAATTTAAGGCTCATTACAATCCGGCTCCAACTTGGTTTTCCAGACTTTCATATTATTTCCCATTCAAACACTTCACTTTCCAATCAAATGTGTAACTGTTCTCAAACTGGCATTTCTCTTCTCCTTCTGATTCCATGCAGGCCATTCCCCAAACCTGGCATACTCTCCTTTGGCATCTCTTCTTTTCAGAAGCTTCATCATCCTTCAAGGCTCAGGTCAGCACCAGAGTCCTCCATGAAGCTTTCCCTGAGTTATCCAATTGGACGTGTTTTCCCTTCTTAAGTTACTTTGCATTTATATCTTTTTGCACATTTTACATCCCTGTCCATTCCCCTCTTCTCACACAACATAAGCTGCTTCAAGGCAGGGATTATTAATTTTTTATGTAGAATGGTTCATTAGATTTGTTTTTATTCTGAATCAAAAAGCACCAAATAAAGTGAGCTTTTCCATATACATAGAACAGAAAAAGATCATCTGTGTAACTGTGGATCTCGATTCTATACAATTTGCCTTTGTTTTTAAGGATATTAAAAACATGACACATCACTTTCAAAGTTACCCTGATTCTGTTGTCTTTTGGGCTTTGAAATATTTCTATTACCCTCTTTTCCTTTTGGCCACCTTCAATTAACCCTGGCTCCCTGCTACTTTCTACTCTGCCCCAACCCCCCTTGGGAAAAAAGAAAACTAAAGCCCTTGTAATAAATATGCATAGTCAAGTAAAACAAATTCTCCCATTGGTTGTGTCTACAAATGTTTTTTTTTAATTAGGGAAGGGATTCTTTCATTTTCATCTTTTTATCATCCCCTTGTGCCTAGTACCTAGGATCATTGATCTAGAACTGGAAAGATACTTACAGGCTGTCTAGAGCACCCCCCTCATTTTACAGAGGAAGAAATTAAGGCCTGGAGAGATGAAATGACTTATCCAGATTCACAAGGGGATTCTGTGACCACTGGGATTTGAACCCAGGTCTTTTGACTCCAGAGTCCATGGGTCTTTCACAGTACCAGTGTGTGCTGAATTGAATGGACCATTTCCCCCCTTTTCAGATGGGGTTGGAGGTACAGAGTACCACCCCAAGGGACTGGCCTATAGTTAGGCTTAGAATAGAATTTGGGTGATTTATGCCATGATGCTGGCCAACAGAACACATTAGAAAAACATTCTCAGAAAAATTCCTAAAAGAATTAAAAAAAAATCTTTTCAAGATTTCAGGAAGTTCCAAGTGATTTCTTTATATTATTAAGAAAGGATTGAGGTGATTAAAATAAATCTTTTTTCCCTCACTGTAAAATAAAGAATATTTCCAGTAAAGCCACAGGGAAAGGCTAATGAGGAAGAATAATTATGGGATGCCATACTGCTGGCTACCAAGACTTTTCAGATAAGGCTGATGCCAGTTAATTAAATTATAAACAAAGAGACCGAATCAGTATCCAAAGCCTGCCAAGTCCCAGACTTCTGTGTTAATCCAATGTAATGAAGTCCCTTGTATGACAGATGCTTCCTGACTATCCCTTTCCTCTTTGGCACACCCATTCTTCTTGCCCCCATGATGATGACCTCTGCTTTGAGAGGCTTTCTTTGGAATCCATAAATAACTGTTTGCTTTTGCTCAGAGTTCAGTCTTTCAGAAAGAGGCCTCTGGAGCCTGTCCCAGAGGGTTTATTTTAAGGGTAGTTGCCATTTATTGTTTTAGTGGTGGTAGGAAGAAAGCAGCAGACTTGGGGATGGCTGAGAAGCTAGGAACCAGGCCAAGGGCTTGCTATGCAAAGCAAATGATATAAGACCAGAAGGCATCATGTACTGAGTGGACCTTCACCTGTCCTCCCATCCCCAGCACAACACACACAAGATGGGGCAAGTCTGAATTGTGGCATAGAGGGCATGGGTGAGGAAGGACGAAATGAGAACTCCAATAGGGAGTTATAAAGGAAAGGACTCTGGATTTGGGATCTGAGGTTCTGGGTTTGAATTCTGAATCTGCCCCTTGCAATCTGTGTGAGTTGGGACAAGTTGTACCATTTCTCTGGGTCTCAATCTGTAAAATACAGGGGGGTAGGATTCAAATGTGTAGCTGTTCTCAAACTGGCATTCTCTCTTCTCCTTCTGCTTTCATGCAGGCCGTTCCCCAAACCTGGCATGCTCTCCTTTGGCATCTCTTCTTTTCAGAAGCTTCATCATCCTTCAAGGCCCAGGTCAGCACCAGAGTCCTTGGAACAGTTCTTGCTCAAGGGTTAGGATTCCACCTAACAAATGGTGCCTTCTGTCCACGTCTCATTATTGAGCACATAATTTAGTCATAAATATTATTGCAGCCAGAGAATGTAATGAGTTTTTTGGTAAACTGAGACTTTCTGTCCACATCTCTCATTGTCTATGATGTTATGTAGCCATATGTATTATTGTAACCAGTCAATATAAAATTTGATGTAAGTAGCATCATGGGCAAAGTTTCGAAGGAAAAATATCTGAGAATGCTGGCCTTGGAGTCTAGAAGGCCTGGGTTCAAAGCCTACCTCTGACACTTGTTAGCTATACTGACTCTGGACAAGTCACTTAACCTTCTTCAAACTCAGTTTCATTTTGCTTAAAATGAGATAATAATACTTTTGACAAGAGATTCAAATGAGATCATGCATGCAAAATACTTCCTGTACCTTAAAGTGACATAGGAACTTCAGTAGTTTTTTTTTTTTGTTCTTGTTAAGTATTAATTGTGACATTATTTATGTTGGCACAATAGGCCTGAAATTCTATCTTTTATATTTTTATTGATTTCTGTCTATTTTCCCTAAATGTTGTAACCAGTACTAAAAACAGGCAAATGAAAAAAGATCATACAAAACCCAATACATTTCAAATTATTTATAGTCTGTAAAAATGTATATATAAACTTTAATTAAGCAATAGTAAAAACCTCTCCTTTGCTTCCATGTCCCCATCTGAATAATTTTGTTTCCAGATATTTTTAAATTTTGTTGCTGTTATTATAACCCTTATTTTTTAAATAATTGCATATTTTTATATTTTTTAAAAAATGGTGGATTGGTCATTCTGATTCTTCTTTCTTCTGTCTTTATCACTTCATGTCATTATTTCCATATTTCTAGGTATTCTTCCTCTATGTTGTTTCTTATGGGTCAATAACTTTCCATTATGGTCATTTGCCTTAATTTATTCATCGCTTCTCCTGTTGTTAGCAAACAGTCTCTTTTACCCAACCACCCTGTTCCAAGTGTGATTTTGTGGGCTTTCAATCATTTCTGCTTTGAAATCTTCCTCATTCTTGATAATTTTGCCTTCAGCCCTAGTTAAATTGGAGAGCTCATCATTGTCAAAACAGGTCTGGAAAAAGCCAACCCGAGCATTAATTATGAGCTTCAGGACAGGCGAGTTTGCAGGGCTCGGGGTAAAGTATGTCTGGGCTTCCTCAATGAAGTATTTTCAGCAACAAGTTGTCAGTGAAGTCAGGGACTTGGTGGGTCAGGATTAGATACCACCCACCCTTGCCTGTGACCTCCCCTTTTCTCCCTCCTCTTTCTCTCCTCTCCTGGGTGACTGACTGGCCCACTGTCACTGCCTCTCAGCTGGGTCCCCAGCCCCTCTGTGCCTGACTGTCCAAGTCATCTGCTGTGCAAAGCTGCTTTCTGAAAACTGCTGATAGCAGTGGACTTTGGGAGGACATCTCCTTGCTAGGAAGTAACTAAAAGGTGAGAGTCCAGTTGCTGGGGGAGGAAGTTACTAATGAAATGCTCTGAGCTCAGGAGCCGTTGCGGGGGGGTGGGGGGTGGCGGTAGCGGGGAAGTGGAGGGAATTCTAGCTGCTTCAGGAAGTTTATTTGTCCTGCTTTGAACATCCCAGGCTGAAAATGTTGAGTTTCCTTCTGACCTCTAGGAGGCTGGCGTTATTTTAGAAAGCGCAAGTGTTTTGATTAGTAATGATGAGAAATGTAAACTTTTATGCTAATTTAAAAGTTATAAATAACCAGCAGAACTCTTGCCAGGGGAAGCTGGTAGGCAATGTCGTGCTTGGAATTCAAAGAGTTTCTAAGCTATAAAAAGCGCATTGGACTATTCTCCAGGAGAAGATAAGATATGATCAGGATGTTCCTTTTTTGGTCAGTGGTGCCAAGATGGTAATGTTGGGGTGTCTGTACCCTTTGATGCCAGGCTTATGGAGAGTGTGAGTATGTAAGGCTAGGGGTTACCCGTGTCTGAAACGCTATGTGCACAGATGCTTTTATGGCTGTGTTTTTGATCTTGTAAAACAACTTTCATAAATTGGTATGAAGTTAGAAGGTTGAGAATTTCCTTAAGAAATGCTTTACCAACACTTGGTGGCTTGGCTTCTCCATGGGGGATAAGTGATGGTTGGGGTGGAGATTTGGGGGTAGATCTAGAGCAAGGAAAGACTTTGATTATAGGAGATCGTGTGGTATGGTGGAATAAACACTGGGTCTGGAGGCGGAGATCCATCAAGCGGTAAACATTTATTAAACCCAGAGTTCCTAGGTTTAAATCATATTTTTGACACTACCTGGGTGACCTGGTTCATGTCACTTATTTGTGCCTCGGTTTCCTCATCTGTAAAATGTTGACTTTGGATTAGATGAATTCTGAGGTCCTTTCCAGATCTAAATGAAGGAATTTACAAATCCATTATGATAATAATATTGGGAAGCAATGTGGCATATTGGACAGATTGTGCAAAATCAGGAAGACCTCAATTCAAACCCTGTTCCACAAGCTTACTAGCTGTGTGACCTTGGGCATGACATTTAATCTCAGCCCAAGTCTTCCTCATTTGTAAAATCAGGATAATAATAGCACCAACTGCACAAGGCTGCATTGAGAGCCCAACAAGATAACATGTGTGCGATGCTTTGCAGTCCTGAAAACTAAGGCCTGGATGACAAGGAGTCAAGGTAAAATGAAACAAGAAAGCTTTAGGGGGGCATTAGGCAGAGATTCTTTTCTGGGCTGGTTATGGGGCTATGGCATATGATACCAAGGAGAGCCACAGATTCTTGTCTAGAGAGCTTTAGGCTTACCCAATATTACACGGCCCAAAGGATTTCATCTGGGATCTCCTGATCTCCTGGGATGTGTTTAGCCCACTGAGGCAGGCTAAAAAGCAACATTTCAGAGAATAACAGCTACAAACTGTTGCTTGTAGAGGGGGTGTATAGGATCATGGGGTTTAGATCTGGAAGGGACCTTAGACAGCATCTAGTTTATTTGATATGTTTTGTTTTTATTGATATACTTACTTTTTATATCACCACTTTTTATCTTCTCACAAATATTTTTATTATAAACTTAAATATTAAACTTAAATATAAAATAAGAAAAGAAAAAAAAACGTCATGTGCACAGCAGAACATAGGAGAGGATTCAGAATATATAGCAATAACTTTCCATTTCAAGAAAGCCTATATATTAAGGATTGCACGTTACGTTGAAAGCTGTCCATCTTTTCTTTGCTTCCTTATAGGTTTTCTTTTGTTCTCTGCTGTACACTTTTAACTTTGTTCTTTTTTTCCCCTTCTGCTCCTTTCCTCCCCAGGCTACAATTAAGCATGGATATATTTATATATAGATATTGATATATACATATACATATGCATATATATACATACATAAATACATATATATGCATATGCTTTCCCTAATAGATTCTATTCCTAATCTTTGTTTTTATTTTTGTGTATATCTCTTATTTCCTGTCCCCCCGACTCTTGCACTTTATATTCATTTTTGAATATAGTCCTCTCTCCTCCTCTATTCTGTGGACTGTGGCTGGTAACAAAGAGTTTGAAAAAATAAAGAGAAAAAGTGTTCAGTGGAGCTGACCAACGTAGTCTGATGGTCTATGTGACCTTCCACACCATAGTCCTCCACCTCTTTGAGTAAGGGAAGGTGTGTCCTCTCATCTTTCCTTGGGGAAGAGTGTGGTCGTTACACAAGATTCTTTTTTTGTTGTTCATTCCATTGTTTTTCACATTGTTTCCAATGTTCTTTACATTGTTTTCTTGTCTCTGCTTACTTGACTCTGCATCAGTTCCTATGTACATTTTGCCTTTGTTGGCAGATAAGCATAATTTTCTGGTTGGTAGCTCAGATAACTCGAATTTTTTTTTTAATTAAATAGCCAGCTTATTGGCATACAGCTGCACTACTGCTCAAAGCATTTCAGGATTGTGATCTCTTTCTAACTTAGACAAAAAAAAAAGAGGAGAGACATTAGAATACCTAAAAGCCAGATCTCTTGAGAATAAAAATTGGGACATCTGATGGTTGCTGAAGAAAGGCAAAAAGGGCAGGCAGCTGTGGAAGCCATGAGGTGCCATTCAAGGGTCACCTAGAGGTCACTTCTCCAGTTGGGTAACTGGCTGCCAAAGGCCTCTCATTTCTCCTGAGAGTCTCATCTTCCTGGACGCACAAAACTGGAACAGCCTGTGGTTATTGCAGAAAGGTGAAGCCACTTGCAGTTACTGAGGTGAGGGGGAGAACCTGGATTAAGTGTGACAGCTTTCCAAAATGGAAACCTCAAGCTTAATTTGCTTCTATGATTTCTTCAGATTTGTTACTTCTTATGGACAAGAGTGTGTAGTTAACTCCCTCATTTGTAGATGAGAAAATGATGCCCAGAAAGGAAAGTGCCTTGCCCAAAGATACACAGCTAGTAATAGACCTGGAATCTGAACCTCCAGCTCCAAATTCAATGCTCTTTCCACTATACCATGTTGTCTCCAGTTCACCAGCAGTCTTAATTGGATGATGCTACAGTATTTTCATCATGTTCATAGAATTTCCTTATTTTTCTTTCTTTTTTTTTACAAATGGGAGTGATAGTTCTAATTCACTAAATTGAAAAATGATCTATAGTATGTTATTGTTCAGTTATTTCTGACTCTTTGTGAACCCATTTGGGGTTTTCTTGGCAAAGATATTGGAGTGGCTTGCCATTTTCTTCTCTAACTCATTTTAGAGATGAGGAAACTGGGGCAGATAGGGTTAAGTGGCTTGCCTAGGGTCACACAGCTAATAAGTGTCTGAGGCAGGATTTGGACTCAGGAAGATGAATCTTCCTGACTCCAGGACAAGCACTCTATCCACTGTGACACCTAGCTGCCCCATGAATAGGATAAGGGTGACTTAAGGAAGAAGCTGGAAGATTTCTTTGTGTTGCAGAGATGTGAGAACCAGTAGACACAAAGATAAGACTGATAGTGGGTGTTTGTATGATCTTAGAATCTCTGAGTTGGGAGGGATCTCAAAGGCCTAATCCAAATTATACTAGATCAAGAATTCTCTGAGGAACTCTAACTTGAAGGCTTTGCTTAAAGACCTCTAGGCTTTCCACGTCAACTTAGGACAGTTCTCAGGGCCAGCCAACTTGTCCTGACATTGCTTTTAGATGTACTGAACCCTTCTTCCTTGTCATCTGATTTAATTCTCACAATTATCAATCGACAACCATTTATTAAGTCCTTATTAATGAAGTGCAAGTACCAATATCCCCTTTTATAGATAGGGAAACTGAGGCTCAGGAGGAGCTTAATCAAAAAAGAAATGTAAGGAACAGCTTCTCTTTTCTGTTTGGTAAAAACTTCCTTTGGGGAGGTAAATGGTGCAGTGGATAGAATGCCAGGCCTAGAGTCAGGAAGACCCTTGACAAGTCACTTAACCCTATTTGCCTCAGTTTCTTCATCTGTAAAATGAGCTGGAGAATGAAATGGCAAACCACTCCAGTATCTTTGTCAAAAAAAACTCGAGTCACAAAGAGTCAGACACACTTGAATAACTCAACAGCAACCCCGACAACAACAACCACCACACCACTTCCTTCAGTCGGAGCTGTCTGATAGCAGAATGGGCTGGCTGCTTCAGGGGGCTGGGGGCTCCCCCTCACTGGAGATCTTCAAGCAGAAGGTGGGGGGCCACTTATCAGAATCTTGTTCAGGTACAGGTTGGCCAAGATGGTGGCCATTGAGGGCCTTTCTGACCCTAATGCTCTCTGATTTGTCGTATTGGGTGTATAGTCAATGTGACAGATCAGATTCAAACCCAGATTTTTCTAGAACCTAAACCTATAATCTTTCTTCCGTACCATGAGTTGGAAGGGCAGGAGGGGACATAAGGTTATTTGGTTATTACAGATTGGAGCAGGTCCAAGTCAAGAGTATTAAAGATGGCAGAAGCCTGTCACCTTTCAAAATCTCAAAGCACTTAATTATAATGCATTTGGTGTGGTCTTTGTTTCATCTCCCTGTGTTATGGAGTTTTGCTGTTTAGTGGAAGAAGCTGTAGGCTTGTGAGGATAGAAACAGAGTGGTTAGGAGGGAAAGAAGGGAGGAAGAAAAGAGGGATGTTAAAAGGAAAAGAAGGGAGAGGTTAGGAAATAAAGGAGGAGGGAGAGGATGGGAAGAAAGGAAAAAGAAGGGAAGGAGGAAAGAGGGCAGAAGGAAAAGGGACCAGGAGGGATGAGGTGAGAAGGGAGGAAGAAAACTAGGAAGGAAGGGGGTAGGAAGAAGGTTAGAAGGGAGAAAGAAGAGGAGAAGAGGAAGGAAGGAGGGGTATTCAACTTTCCACTCTCCATGAACTGTTATTAGCAGACATTAATTCCTCTCTGGTGTAACAGGAATTAAAAACTGAGAGAGGAATTGGCAGCTCCCACTTGTCTGCAGAGAAAGTATGTGTGCCGAAGT